ATATTATACATATTTTTAATGCTATTATAAATATATAATTTAAAATCATTATATAAATATGAATAATGGTTGACACTAATAAATGATATCACGAGCGTTACCATATTACTAATGAACATTATTCAAAATTGCTATATGATGCATTTATTTTTACTTAAATGCCATCTTGTAAAGTAGCAAATAGGTTTTACTTCAATCTTACGCGCACTCTTTTTTTTTCTAGAAATGGAACAACGAGCTCGCCAAATTAGCCGTATTTAACGTAAGAAAATGCGAAATGGAGCACGATTGTGCCGAAACTAGTAAGTTTATTTCTAAAACCCATTTTTCATTACTAATGACATTAATAAGTATTTTTAATTCAAAATTAGAGCATGGTCATACCGGTCAAAATTTGATGATATTTGGAACTTCTGGTGATGCTGTAACAAATAAAACTATAGCTGAAATGGCAGTCGAGGCTTGGTATGCTGAAAACAATGATACTAGATTGGAAGATATCGAGAAATTGACCACCATCTACCCTAAGTATAATTGACTTATCTACTAGGGTTTATACAGAAACCGACATTTCAGAAAACCGGTTTTCGAATTTTAATTTTACTAAAAAACCGGTTTTAACCGGTTTTCGAATTTTATATAGAAAATTAATTTTTGCTCGAATATTCTGTAATTTATCCGCAAATTTAATGTAATTTAGAGCAGTATTTGACTGAATTTATTTATTGTTCAATTTTATAGATAGTAAACAAAATTATTTTAATTTTAATTAGTAGAACTTAAAAATAATAATTTATCTTGTTTAAATAACTTTGAAAATAATTATTCGTTATTCATGCATCATTTTCACATATAAGAATGAAAATATTTTTATGATAGTGAAAAGAAAGTTTTCGAATAAATAAAAATAATACATTTTTAAATAAAAAAAATCAATAAATTAAAAAAAAATAAAAAAAATTTAGATACATACTTGTTAATATCAATTTTAATTTTAAAAACAATCAAGCTAAACTAGCGTATTGTCTGTTCCGAGCAATTTTAATTAATTAATTTTACACATTCTAATTGTTTTTTTGTTTAAGGGGTTACATGGGTTTCCTCGGGCAAAAAAACGCCTTTTTTCAATTATGTTTTTTACATATAAAAAATGAAATATTTTAATGATTTTTTTTATTTAAAAGATACATATTCAATAAACATTTTGTAAAATTTTCAAAAAAAAAATCAAAATGGCGGTCATTACGAAAATGGCAGTCCCTCGAAAAAGAGGTCAGCAGAACTTCTTTCATATCAGGATTATCCGAAAAATAAAAAATACGTGTTTTAGTAAAGACAATAAACTAGGTATTGGACGAAGGAAAAAAGAAAAAAATGAAAATTGGATTTTTGGCAGACGTTTTTATAAAAAAAATGCAAATTTCGATGAAAATTTCTTGACATTCTTTTTTTTTTAAATAATTGTAATTATACAAAAAGAAAATACTTCGTTCAATACCTTGTAAACGATATTTTGAAAACCTGTGTAAAATTTCATCAAGATCAGTTGAGTAGTTCCTAACAAATCTTGACAACCGTCTTTGAAAACATAGTTTTCAGAAAAACGCGTTTAAAGTTTTAAGACACAATAAAGGCGCACCTCAAGCGTCTACCTTTTCAAGGCTGTATCTCCGAAACTATTAGTCGTATCAACTTAAAAATTTAGGACAAAATTATAGAGATGTTATAGAATTTAATAAGATAAAAAAATTTTTTTTTGATTTTTTGAAACCGCGAAACCCATGTAACCCCTTAATAAAATATGATTTCAAAAAACTGAGAACGTCTATTGAATTGCTACTTAGACATGTCCTTTGTTTACTCACAAAATTTCCTGAAATAGAAAATACTCTCTTAGTTGCGACCAAATTATGCTTAATTGTTTTTAAAGCCTGATATAATAATTCTAAGTTTTTTGTTCTTTTATTTGTGACTTCTAGCGTTTCAAACTCATTTTTTTAAGTTTGAGTAGAGGAAGTTACTTCTTCAAAAAGAAGTCACACTGATTTAAATTAATATGTACAGTGGTATAAAATTCTCAATTAATATAAACAAAACCTTTCTGGGAACCATTGAAGACTGATAAGATATCAAATGCTATTGAACTGATATGATTTCAAGAATCAAAACGCTTACATCTATCTTTTCTATTTGGCTATATATGTCATTTTCCATTTATACAGTGAAAACCGGTTTTTTCACTAAAACCCGGTTCTCGAACTCCATAATTTTCGCCAAAAAACGGTTTTTAAAACCGGCTTTTGAAAACCGCCAAACCCTAATATCTACTAACTTACAAGTATAAATATCTTTTTTACTAATTGTGACAAAATTTTATTTTAGTGGTAAAGATATTGGACATTATACCCAATTAATCTGGGGAAATACAACAAAAGTAGGATGTGCTGTCAGTACTTATAAAAAACATGATGATGATTATAATATGATGTTTAATTATACTCTTGTGGCATGCAACTACCGGAATGGAAATACCCTTGAATATCCAGTATACAAAATTAAAAATGAAACAAATCTTGAACCAACTAAGTAGGATGAAAAAATACAAAATAAAAGAATTAAAAAAGCATAATCAGAAAAAAAGTATTAAAATTTTAAGTCTAGTAAGTAACTAAATTAAAACCGAGGAAAGAAGTTCTTCGACTTCATTATAGATATATTTTTATAAAAAATGTGAGTTTTTTTAAATTTATTATGTTATTGTTATTATGAATTTGAAATAAATTATTATTTACAAAAACTTTAGAGTTTTTAATAAAATTGTGTGTTAAAATAAATTTACTTGTAAAATATGTAGTTGTTAAATCTCGTTACAAAATTATCAGATTTTTTTACCGTGATACTGAATGCTGAAAAAAAGCAACAAATACAAGATCGATAAAAAGACATTTCGTTTGAAAGTCAGGAAAACGAATTTTGTTAAATTTGTCTTAATTGAGATTGAGAAAGACTAGTCTTTCAAGTTCTAAAAGCAATCGAAAATTTTTACCGGTATGGAAATACGCTTCGATATCCAGTATACAAAATTAAAAATGAAACAAATCCTGAACCAAGTAAGCAGAACAAAAAAAAAACATTCGATTTTAAATAAAATGTCAAAAAATAAAAAAAGAGATAATAATTAAATATGAAAACATTGAAAAAAAAAACAATGAAGTTGTTTAATTAATAAGAAGATGCTTTGGCATTTGTAATAAAATTACCTTTAAAGTATGTGGTAAATAGGGTTCATTCTAAAACCTAATTTCAGAAAACCGGTTTTCGAATAGTATTTTTACCGAAAAACCTGTTGCAACCGGTTCGTAAATATTCTGTAAAAAATTACCGGCAAACTTAGCTTTTGACAGAATTTATTTAGTGTTCAATTTTATGAATAGTAAAATTTATTTTTAATTTTAATTAGAAGAACAAAGAAATAATAGTTGAATTACAATTATTGTATATTACAGTTTTATTATTATAAATTTCAAATTTGTATTGAAAATGAAATAAAAAAAATAAAATTGTATAATTAATAAGATGCTTTGACATTATAATAATAATTCCTGTAAATTATATGGTAGGTAAATCGTTGCTGTTAAAAGAAAATTATATAAATTTTATGGCTGATTAGTTTTTTAATTAAATAAGAAAGTTATGATCTTATTAATAGTCGACCATAATCCTAATTCTAAAAAAGATCAACGCCATCTTTTGATAAAATGTACCAACACATTTCAGTATATATTTTTTACAGAATGACCTCTCAAAGTTTAAAAAAATTTAATACATAGTTCAACAAAAGGCAATTCTTACAAACTTGAAGCAAATGAAGTATTTTTGTACTGTGGTCTTAGAAATGTTATACTTGGTTATGGTTCCAAACAAAACTAATAAAATTTAACCACAATATCCGAAAATAGGTCATATTTCACGAAAGCTCTAGAATGCACGTGAAAGCTCATAATTTCGAATATTTTTTTCCTCTAGGTTGCTTTAGTCCTAACCCTTGATAATCAGATAAACGCTATCTTTTGATAAAACTTACCAACAAACTTAAATACATTTTTTAAAGCAAAGTCGATCAATTTTAAAAGTTCTAAAATTTATAGTACAAGAAAAAGTCTTCATTTTTGTAAACTTGGAGCAAATGATGTATTTTTGTACTGAGATCCTAGAAATGTTATTCATGGTTACGGTTCCAAACAAAATTATTAAAATTCAACCACAATAACCGAAAATTGGTCAAAATTTTACCAAAGCTTTAGAATGCATGTGAAAGCTCATAATTTCCAAACAACAATATTTTTTTCCTTTTTTTTTCTAGGTTGCTCTTAGTCCTGACCCTTGAAAATCAGATCCACTCCAACTTTTGATAAAACTTTCCAACACACTTTAGTACATTTTTTTTAAAGAGAGCCTCAACCTTTAATGTTGACCGATATTAAAATTTTTAAATTTATAGTTCAACAAAAAATCTTAATTCTTGCAAACTTGGAGCAAATTTTGTATTTTTGTACTGTGGTCTTAGAACTGTTATTACAGTTATGGTTTCAAACAAAATTATCTAAATTTAACTGCACTACCAAAAAATTAGTCATAATTTCACCAAAGAATGCACCTAAAAGCTTATAATTTCCTTAGAGCATGAGATATTTTTTCTCTAATTTTTTCAAGACAATCAAGATCAATACTATCACTTCGTATCCGTTTGATGTCAAGGTCACTCTGTATATTTTTTTTATTTGCCAATCAAAATAATATGTTTTTTTTAATATGCTGGGCGTAAATGCGTTTAAAAAATTATCTCCTAAGAAATATCTCTTTTTATATTTTTTTGACATTTTACTTAAGATCGTATGGCCTTTTTTTTCAATCATCAAGTGGGAGATTCCTCGCTTAATTCTCTTACATATTTGTTTGACTCTGTATATAAATATTATTTTCACTAAAATATTTCCTACCTTTTTTTCGACTTCCTTCTGCCTAAAAGTCAAAAGTATTGTTTGACAATGTTCTGCTCTCAGACGATCTATACTTCGGGCATCAATTGCTCTCATTAGGTACTCATTTACTTCATCTTCAGGATCTTTGTCTTCACCAGGAGGTTCTCCAAAACCCAACCTAAAAAATAAAAAATAGAAAAAAATTAAAAAAATAGAGTCAATCGAACAGCAAAGACATAACAAAGACTCATAACATTTCTACTTCATCCGAGAATTAACTCCTCCAATTTATTACATCTTTGTTAAAAATTTCATTTTAAATTTATTAAGATTATTTCTATCAGAAATAATTATAATTATAAAATTTATTATAATGAAATATTTTGTTTGTAAATTGTGATTTATAGTATTTTTGGAACCTTGTCGTATCAATTTATATAATATATAAATAATTTAGATATTAAATAAGTATATATTTCCAGAAACTGACAACTGTCATTTCATAGTGTTTTTTTGCTGTCAAAATTAATTGAAATTTCTAAAACTTTAATACTTCGAATATAAGCTGAGACTTTAAATATTGCCTATAACCTAAGTTGGATATAAATGCACACGACGAGCAAATAAAATTTAAAATCAATTCAGTAGTTTAGGAGTACATTCCGGACGTAAGGACATTCCGTGATAACATAAGCTATTTTTTCTAATTTTTTTTCATATTTACTTGGAAGTAGTTTTCCCGTGCTGCGACCCATGGCCCATCATTCGCATTTCCTTTGAAATATTTCCATTCATCGAGAACGAATGTTGCGGTTTGTTTTCCTGAAAAGAAATTCGATTTTTATTAATGTCGGTCTCGGTAATGGCCTAATTTATACGCAAATTACACATCTATAGTACGTATAAATGTGATTCGTGTCGGCACAACTTATGTTGAAGAAAATTCATTTCACCATAATTTATACGGAGGTATAAAAAGAGTAATTTGGAATAAAATTGAAAATTAAAAGTAGAAGAAATTTAAATAAATTACTGCTGATTTATGCTCATAGTTGACATAAAAGTATACATACTTCAATTATTTAAACATACCCCATATGAATTATTTATAATTTATCTTTACTTCGAATATTAGAAAAATAATTGAACGTACCAAAAATGTTTTTTTCCTGACGTATTAAATTTATTTTATAAATTTTTTTACAATTTACCTGTTGTCTGTAGGTATCTCCAGGTACAATTAAATAGGTTTGAATATTATGATCCTTTAATAACCATTTCTTTCACCACCATGACCTTCTTCAACCTCGTAATCACCATCAAGACATTGCAAAGTTTCTCGAGTTATATGAACTCGTCTGCAAGAAAAATATTGTTAAGTAATATTTTACTGAAGTTTTTTGCGGAAAATTTATAATTGTATTTTCACCCTGGTATTCCTCCACTTTCCATATAATTGGCCAATGTGACATCATTTGACCAAACATCAAATTGCCATTTTCTTAACCCAAAACACCGCAATGAACACGGCCGGTATGAATGCCGACCCTCATGTTGACGTTCACTGCCATCACCTCTCGGACTAATCTGTAATATCAATGTGATACTAATTATCATTACAGGAAAAAAATCATGCATGAACTAGTTTTATTTATTTATTATTATACTACTACTACTACTACTAGTAGTTTTATTTATTTCTGACAATTTAGGGACCGATTCTGACGCATAGCAGACCAATGTTATGGCAAGGCCATGTTACGCTCAAACTTGCATACATTACGCTACTAAATCATGTCATGTATTTGCAGTGCATTCTGGCGTTTTACACATAAACTGCAACGTCACTCGTATGTTATTAAAAACCCCTGTTATCTAAGATTGTTTTTTTGTCATTTATGGAGTTTCTAGGTTTGTTTTTTTTTTCGGAAAACCTGAGAAAAGCACCTGACTGCACACCAAGCACATGGCTTTTGTCGATATTTAGTATGGAAAGTTATAGTTATAGTTATAGTTACATAGTCTTGCCATAACATTGGTCCTTCAATTTTTTAATATTAAGTTCGTTGAGTTGTTGCTAAAAATGGAGTTGTTGTCGGATAGCGTTGTTGTCCGATAGAGTTTTTGTCGGATAGAGTTGTTGTCGGATAGAGTTGAAGTTAGATCGAGTTGAAATAGATCGACGACTCGTCGTTGTTAAATCGAGTCGTCGTTGCTATCAAATCGGGTCGTTGTTAAAAATCTAGTCGTCATTGTTCTAATCGAGTCTTGTTAAAATCGAGTTGCTGTCAAATCGGGTCGTTGTTAAAAATCGAGTCGTTGTTGTTAAATCAAATCGTCGTTTTTGTTAATCGAGTCGTTGTTGAAAATCGAGTCGTTATCAAAAATCAAGTCGTTGTTGTTCTAATCGAGTAGTTTTAAAAATCAAGTAGTTGTTTAAAAATCGAGTCGTTGTTAAAAGACGAGTGGTTGTTAGATAGAGTT